CCCGTTTTCTTTCCAGCCTCTATTCCAGGTTCCAAAGCATACTGATTCTGAGTTCCATGCCAAACCGTTCCTTGTTGCTCCTATTGGAAACTTCCAGACGCAGCAGCTGGGGTTAGAGACTTTCCGGCATGACGGCCGGAGTCGGAGACCTCCCGATACGGCAGCCCGACACGGCAGCCGGGGTTCGAGACCTCCCAACACGGCAGCCGTAGTCGGAGGCTTCCCGGCTCGGCAGCCGGAGTTCGAAATTTCCTGGCACGGGGATCAGAGTCGGAGGCTTCCCGGCACAGCGGAGTTAAGAGACTTCCCAACATGGCGACTGGAAACTTCCCGAAACGGTGGCCGGGGAGGATTTCCCAAGGTGGCGATCGGGGCTTATGCAAATCAGCTACCGAAAAACACCACCTCGGACGAAAACCCGATCTATGGAGCATCGGAACACTAAATAAAGAAACTGAGAGCGATGCCCTAAGGTCGGGATCAAGGGACACTACCCACCAACTCCGCTTTCCTCGCCATGACCGAAGAGACTTGCTAGGGATGACACCCCTGGACTTTCAAGCCAAAAGGGACTCCGGGTTTACCCGCGAGGACGGAGATCCCGGCTTTGCCTACATTGCACTCCGTAGGAAGAGCCGCATTCCTTCTCCTCCGAGTCGCTTCAGGGAGCGACGGTGGTGTGCGCGCGACCCGTCGGGCCCCCCACCCCAAGCTGATTCCAATAACGGCTTTAAAACAGGAGAAGAAGGTCTCCTGGCTCTGTTTTTATCAAGGACCAGCATTGACACTGGGACAGGAACTGCTCCGAGGCCAAGACTGAGACCAGGACTGAAACCAGCACTGGCACCGGCACTGAGACTAGCACCGCTCCGAGACCGAGACTGGGACTGAGAGTGAGATGGAGACAAAGACTGGGACTGGGAGCTCTTTGGGACCGACACTGGGACCACCACAGCTCCGGGACAGAGATCAACACCGGGACCGGAATCAGCTCTGGGATCGCTCCGGGACCACCGCGTTCACTCCGGGCAGTTTCGGCCCTGCCCCCAGGCAAGACTGGGAAGGGCTGGGAGGGACTGGGAGAGAACTGGGAGGGAACTGGGAGGGAACTGGGAGGGAACAGGAAGGGAGCCCTGGGCGGGGCAGGACTGCCTCGGTTTGCATCGTTCCGGTGCAGCCATCCCGGTCCATGTGGTCCCGGTCCATGTGATCTCAGTCTCTGGTGCTGATCCATACGGTTCCGGTCTGTGCAATCCCAGTCTGTGCAATCCCAGCCCATGGATCCCAGTCTGTGTGGATCCCAGTCTGCGTGGTCCTGCATGGCACACACTCCAAGAGTCTGGAATTGCAGTTGCCAGCAAGGAAAAGATGTTCCTGCCCTTGAAGGCAAAGCTCTTGAGAAGGGGCCAAGAGCCAAGTGCAGCAAGATCTTACAGTGACATTTCCCTGCCAGCCCCCATAACTTCCCCCATGCTTGTTGTAGCTCCTGGATTGGGAATTAAATCAGGGGAGGGTCTCTGGTGGGAGCTGCCCTGGGTGCAGGGAGACGCTGATGTCAGCGTTCAGGAACACACATAATCACAGATTGATTATATGCAGATGCTTTATTGAAGCTCACGGGAACTAGGGGTATCAGCAACCCAAATCTAGCTCCATCGTCTTTGTCCAAAGTTCACATATTTATACAATTTCAGCTGTAGCAGTAATCACTGTAACAACCTTATCAATATTGCTTCATTAATATTGTTTGATTAGCTTTATCAATATTGCTTCATGAGAGTTAGCTCATCCTTGTACGAACATGTACAAATCTTATCTCTGGGTGGGTAACTTGGAGACCCCCAAGTACCAGTTCCTGTTGCCGTAAACATGTCAGCTTGCTAGACCATCCCCAATACCAGACATTCTTGCGGCCTACTTCTTCATGGTTTTAAGAAACATTTTCAGAAACATTTAACCCCATAATAACAAGGCTTTCACTGCTGTGGTGTCACAGAGAGGGGAACACTGGGGCTGTCACGTCTGTGGTGTCACCGAGAGGAGGAAATTTGGAGAGTCACTGCTGTGGTGTCACAGTGAGGAGGAAATTAGGGCTGTCACAGCTATGGTGTCACAGAGAGGAGAACACTGAGGCTGTCAGTGCTGTGGTGTGTGATAGATTGACATTAAAGTGAAAAAGAGAAACAGCTAAGGATGTTAAGGTTGTGGAGGCTGATGGGAGTTTTTCTCCTGGCCTTTAACTGGTCATTTCTGAGAATTGACAGTAGTTTTGACCATTGAAAAGTGATATCAACCTGTGAACATCACCCTTTAAAACTTAAGCATGGGAATTTCTCTTTCTCTTTGGTTCCAGGCTTTTGAAGAGGTAACAGGGCTCTAGTTCATCCTCCTCCCCCCCCAGGCCAGACAAGGCTGCGGGGGGAGCAGGGCTGGCTGGAGTTCTGCGGTTCCTGCTGGGGGATGGAGACTGTGAAGTGACAGGAGCCCCATCCCAGAGGGAAGTACTCCCATCTGTCCTACTGGTCTGGCCTTAATGTAAATCTTTGAGTTGATCAAAGGGTCATTGATAAACAAAACCTTGGTTTTGCCTGCTGACATTGCTGGTCAGGCAGTGCCTCAGGAGATGCTCTTGATGGTTGCGTCTTTTCCTGGGCATGGCGCTGGAGGAGGTTCAGGCCCAGGTGATGCCACTGAAGGAAATGTGCCCTCATCCCAGGGATGCTCAACATGGACTCCCCCAGCCCCTCAGGGCCCCGCCACTGGTCACAGCAGCCCCTGCCTGGCTCCTGTCTGCCCACACCGTGGTCAGCCCTGCCTGCTCCTGGACATGGAGCTCAGCCAGGGCTGGTGCCGTGTGGGCTTTGCTGGTGGTACTAGACGGACATTGGGGTGAGAGCTCCATCTCTTTATTGGAACAGAAGAGCTGTGCTGGGCTCTTCCCTGGCAGGAGGGACCCACTTTCAGTCCAGGCCACAGAGCAGGGCAGGTCCCTTCAGGGGACAGCAGCAAGCTGGTAATGCAGCTGTGACAGCGACATCACATATGGGCATGGAGATGTGAAATGTGTGGTGCAGGTGTCCCTGAGGGAGGTGTTTGGCCTTTCTTGTGAAGCTGCAGAGGGGAACCTGTTGAGAGAGGATATGGCTGAGGCCCCAGCTGCAGCTGGCACACAGGGACCCTCTTGCACACTGGGAAATTCTCACTGTGTTCAGTTTCCCTCTGAAGACTAAGAGGTGAATGTGGATGGGCTTAGCAACTGGGCTGCCGGCCAAAGAATTGTGTTAGCAAAAGAAGAAATTGAGAAAATACAAGTTTATCCATAGCAAGGAAGAAAGCAAGGCCGTTAGCATGGAAACCAATAAAAAGGTGCATAAGGGGTATTTGCAGTTATGTAATATGTGCCTTAGAGGCAGCATATGTGCCTTAATAATCTCTTGTAAACTCTTGCCATTTTATTGTTGATGTTTAATTGCTTTGTACCAATAAAATACATTAAGCCATTGCTTTGCCCAATGAATATAATGAGCTGTTTTGATGTAACTAATGACTTAAGATCATGCTTTGTTAAGGGACTAAATGTTGACAATACTTTGTAATGAAGAAGAAGCCATTGTAGTCTCTGTACAAGTGTGTGTTGTGTGTCCGTCTCAAGTGACAGGTGAGAAATTCAAAAACGCCTTTGAAAAATCCTCAACTACTATGGGAATTGAGAAGAAACATTTGTGGACTACTTTCTAAAAAAAATTCTAAATATTTCTAAAAACTTCTTACTTCTAAAAATGAAAACCAAAGATAACATGGTGCTCCATGCCTGGCTGCTGGTGGCAGAGCAAGAAGCTGATCATGCAGCTTTGGTGGGGACAACAGACACTGACTGGGAGATGCAGGAAGACAAGTGTAGTTCTCCCTGATTGAAGCCTTTGGCCTGTCTTGTGAAGCTGCAGAGCCACTCCTCTGGAGAGAAGAGGTCCCCAGCTGCTGCTGGCACAGAGGGACCCTCCTGCACAGCAGGACCCAGAGCTGCCAAGGATCCCCAGCATGGCTGGAGCTGCTGGCACAGCTTGGCCCAGCTGGACAGCTGCCCCTCAAGGCCCCAGCAGGCAGGGGATGGTTCTGGGCAGGGTCCCTGCTGTCTGCTTTTCAAGCGCAATCTTATCACCACTCTTGCTCCTGCCCACCTTGCTTTGCCTCTGCCTGCTTCTCCTGGGACTGCTCCTGGCCATGATTAATAATCACTGCTTATTCTGTCAGGAAAGGGACATTTAGAAGTTGTCTCCAGCATGCACCATTATCTTCACAATGTGATTGACCAAGACTGCACGTCAAACCATATCTCAATGCCAGTCTGGACGGGAGGACAGATCAGAAGCGTTTTCATGGTGTGCTGGGCTCCCCATCCTGTTTAGGGAACTGCAAGGAGGTCCTCAGTGGCACAGAAGCCATTGCCTGAGATGTAACCCCGGGTGCCTCCTGTGGCTCAGGGAGCAGCTGTGGCTGTAAATGTGTGTTTGTCTGCAGCACAGGGTCAGGGCTTAGCAAGGCCCTTGTTGTACCTCGGGTACTGCTCAGCAGCCCCATCGGAGCCAGGGCCTCAGCCCTTCCCTGTTGGGGACTGCCCTGGCCCGGCCCAGCCATGGGGCAGGGCCCAACAAAGGCGCAGTGGGTCCAGAGGCCTGGCCTCACCCTGGTCCCCAAGGGATGGGCTCTGTCTGCCTGCACAGCCCACAGGCGAGGCCCGAGGCTCTGCAGGAAGCTTCCTGCCAGCTTTGCACAACCTCGACCGAGAGTGTCCTTTGGCTGTGCTGAGAAGACTAACAAACCCCTCTAGTTTAACCTCGCTGCACACCTCATGAGGGATCTCTGCAAATCTTAGGAGAGACCATATTCATTTGTGCCTCATAAGGGATCTCTGCATACCTTGGCAGGGACCCAAAAATATCCCTGGTTCCTCACAGGAAATCTGTGTACACCTTTTCAGAGACCCCAAAATAACCTCATGTGCCTCACAAAAGAATCCGGCCCTCAGCTCACTTTAGGAAGGACTCAGCTCCTCTCCAGGCCTTGATGGCAACTGCTAAATGGTCATGTAAATCATGAGGAACTCAAGCCCCCTGCCAGTCTTACAGCATTCTCCAGTCACCTGGAGCCATAGAAGTGACCCCAATTCCCCTAAGAATTTCAAGAGGAAACCTCAGCCACATGCACCACTTACAGAAGACCCAAACCCATGCCTGTCTTACTGGAAAACACAACACCCTCCCTGTCTGTGTGCCTCACAATGGACCCCAATCATCTGGCAGCCTTACAGGGGTCCCCCATCACCTGCATGCCATAGAAAAGCCAGGTGTGCCATTAACTAGCCGGCAGCATGTTCCATGACAGAAACCTCTCCAATGCCTTTCTGGGAACTGGGAACACGTGTTGTGGTGCCAGCTGCATCTGCGGGAGCAATGGGCAGCGAGTCCAGGTTGTGCTCCACTGCTGAGCTGGCAGCATGGTGGATACAGCCAGGATATTCT